TACCTGATTCTTGATGTCTGTCTATATCAACTTCACAGGTAGGTGCACTCAAGATCTAGTCAATCATGGGGATGGGGAGGGGAAGAAGCTACTGAGGTATGTCTAAAATGTTGACTGTGCTTTGAACCGAATTAGGCATATGTTTTCCAGTGTCGACCTGCTCTCCTCCTCCTCCTCCTTCTCCTCCTCCTCTTTCTCTGGCGGATCCTATCCTCCTCTTCCCTTTTTCTTCCCTTAATTTTTACCCCTGTTTTTTTCCCTCCAATTTCGATCTCAAGACTTGCAGATCTGGTCATTCCCTATTCTCTTTTTCCCAGCAAACCTTAATTTCTCTGTTCTTTTTTGTTTTATCGATCCAGACAACTTCCTTTGACCTCTAAAAGCCTTTTGTGGTTTGCTTTTGTAGGTAAAGTTCTGGGTGTTGTTCCAATTTGAATAGGCTGTTGGTTGTCTTAATTTTTTTGTGATTATTGTTTATCTTACTTTAGTTATTGTTGTGTTTGTGGTGTTTTGTTATCCTTTTTAGTCATTGTAAGCTAAGCACCTTTCCTTGTTATTGTCTTTTCTTTCTTTGGTTCTTGCTCTCTCTCCTTGGTGCTTTTGGGGTATATTGATACAATGTTGAAAAAGGGCTCTTTCTTCTTAGTACTGAACCTGCCACTAGGCGATTATCTAAGGAAGAGAAATGTGAAGGTATTGCAATGGACAGAAATTTTAGTCAAGGCAATAGGAGATGTCTGTCACCACAGGACATGTTCTCATATATGGACCCACTTGAAATAGCTCTAATAAAAGATACACTTCGTGATGATTTTTGTTTTGATTGAGAATCTATTGAGCGGACTCTAAAAAATGGTTCAGAAGTTATGGTCGAAGATATGGAAAAGACGATTATTTCAACTAAGAAGAGCCAGGCAATACCCTGCTTTGCAAACCTTGGTGAGAGCAGTAGTATTGATCTTGTATCTACTTATTTCCCATCAGATACAGCAGGTAACTGCTGTGAAGATGTTGGTTCTAGAAAAGGTAGTCCATCTCGGACTAAAGGTTCTGTTGAAGGTAGTGGCAGTGGGATTGAAGGGGATACAACTAGGGGGGTTGCTTTTAAAGACATCTTTCAAGCGAAAGAAGAAAGTTATAATGGGCAAAAACTTTCTACTCATTGAACGGAACTTGTGTCAATCTCTAAAAGTTGATGATAATGGTTCTTCCATCAGTCTAGGTTGGCAGTTGTCGAGGTTCAAACAAAAGAACTTTCCAAAACAGACATCCAAGTTGATATGTTGAAAGTTTTTGAAGATCAGCAGAATTCACACCATCCTAGTATAATTGAACCACGTCCTAGATCAGCAAAATACATGCCATGTCAGAACAACATTCCCCAATTTTGAGTGATCTTGAAGTGCAGGTGCCAACATCGATTTCCAAAAGAACTGTGAATTTTTCTTATTCTTATGACACGATAATCAAATCTAGATACACGGATTTTTCCAACAAAATGTGTTTGCGTTCTGGTTGGAATTTTGATTCAATTGAAGAAAGAGTAAGCCTATTTATTTCTGGTTCTAAGACCAGTAGTTCTAGCGGTCGACTCGGTTCTTTCAAATTGTTTCTCATTATTAAGAAAAGGCAACGAAGATAAAATATGAGCTTGTTACTGTTTTTCTTTGTCCATGGGCAATGAGTTTCAATGTATTGGGTGTATTTGTATTTATAGAAGCTTTAATTTTCGTGCTTATCTTAATTATTGGTTCAGTTTATGCATAGCAAAAGGGCCATTGGAATGGTCTTTGCTCCTGAATATTCAGACAACAAAAAGAAAAAAAAAAAAGATTGAGACAGTTGTGAATTCCATTGAGTTTACCTTACTTGATCGAACAACCCAAAATTCAATTATTTCAACTACATTCAATGATCTTTCAAATTGGTCAAGACTCTAGTTTGTGGCCCCTTCTCTATGGTACTAGTTGTTGCTTCGTTGAATTTGCTTCATTAATAGGTTCGCAATAAATGTCAAGTAGAAAGATCCAAGAGAATTCAAGCCCCATGACATTGCTTCGCAAGTTCTGATGAATTGGTAATTCCTGATTTCCTTCCCTTCCATGCCCATTCCGTTGCTCATGGCAAGCATAAGAGAGAGCTATGGATAGAAGACAACTACGGTAACGCAAGTCTATTTCACCCCCCTCTACGATGCAATGTTAAAATTGAGTAATTTGAGTCTTGGTGCTGTTGCCTTGTGGTTACTAATAGAGATGTGATTGATGCTTCTATTTATGGTTTTCTCATGGAATCTGTTTTTTCTTTTCTATTTTGGCTTTTGAAGGTTTTTATTTTGTTTGTTTATTTATCTGTGCGTGGAAACTCTGTTCTTCTGTTGTTGTTGTTGTTTTTTTTTTTTTTTTTTTTTTTTTATGTATAAGAAAAATATTTGGGACCCTATTTTTTGGGAGTTCCATGACCCCCAATTTGACATTGGCCCTTGATGTGTGTGTGAGGTCCCCTCATGTATTTGTGGGTGCCACATTATAGTTGGGATGAGAGTCGGGGTTGTAGGGGTTATGTATGTATAGGGATCTCTATCATAATTGGCTGGTTGTAGTGTGGTGTGGGATTTAAGGGACAGAATGAGCTATTTTGCACTGCAATGCCCTTTATTATCTGATGTTATGTTCCATAGGGTTAGCTATTGCAGTTGAATTTTTACCAGCTTTTTTTTTAAACTATAATTCCAAAAATATTAAAATACCACCCCCCACCATGAACATTTTGGGATATGTACGACACAAAACATCGAATGAGTATGCTCTAAGCGATAATTAATCTATCTCTTCCCATCTCATCATCGCACATATAAAAAAATAAAATAAAAAATAAATAAATAAGAGGAGAATGCAGTGTAGTGTTTGATTCACTGGAGTGTAGTGCCGTGAAATCATCTTTCTATCAAAATGTTCATTCTCATATTTGATTGAATAAAAAAACCAATGAAAAAATACATTACAAATGAATTTTCAACATTATTTTCAATTTTCTATTAACTCTCAAGGGCAGTAACCATCTTTAATGAAATTTTTAACCTTGTTTTTTGTTCTTATCCTCGAATCATGCTCAATATTAGGTTAATATTCATATTTTAACTAAGATATTATGCTTGCTTGTAATAGTTAGTGTGATCTTAAGATCCATATTGTATCATCTTTGATGATATAAAATGTTCTTAGTATGTCTATGTAAAAAGTATCCAAAAAGTATTTGATCTCTCTCCCAAAAACTTGTATTCAAGTATCGAACCTAATGCTATAAATAAAAAGTTGTGTTACGGTTCCCTCGTGCTTCCTCTCTGTCGTTACAAATTTGATATTAGAGCCATGTAGCTTAACAATATCCATATGTTCCATACACCAACAAGATATAACCCATTTTTCTCCTCTAACAGTTGGCTCTCATCAAGAAAATAAGTTGTGCAATTACCACCTTGTGTGGATCCTTCACATCATAAATTTGAAAGTTAGAACTCCAAAAATAATTGTTTCAGCAAACATGTATAGGGCTGTGTATTTTTGTTTTTATCCTGGAATCATGCTCAATATTAGGTTAATATTCATATTTTAACTAAGATATTATGCTTGCTTGTAATAGTTAGTGTGATCTTAAGATCCATATTGTATCATCTTTGATGATATAAAATGTTCTTAGTATGTCTATGTAAAAAGTATCCAAAAGGTATTTGATCTCTCTCCCAAAAACTTGTATTCAAGTATCGAACCTAATGCTATAAATAAAAAGTTGTGTTACGGTTCCCTCGTGCTTCGTCTCTGTCGTTACAAATTTGATATTAGAGCCATGTAGCTTAACAATATCCATATGTTCCATACACCAACAAGATATAACCCATTTTTCTCCTCTAACAGTTGGCTCTCATCAAGAAAATAAGTTGTGCAATTACCACCTTGTGTGGATCCTTCACATCATAAATTTGAAAGTTAGAACTCCAAAAATAATTGTTTCAGCAAACATGTATAGGGCTGTGTATTCAGTAGGTACTTTGAGGTCTCATAAGATGTTTTGCCTGAGTCGTACGCTCCCTCCCCTCCCTCTCTCTGGTATTGGCTTGATTGTAACAACTCTAATACAAATCGCATGGGACCCCTCTCTTTTACCACTCTGGCCACAAGTTAAGGGAAAGTCTTTGCACGCCAATACTTATTTCAGTAGATACCGCTTGTTTAGGTTTACACCATACAATTTGAAGTTTTTCTTAATTCACACTATCAATTTTCATATTACTCTCATCTTGTCCAACTTGCTAACCCTAATCCCCTCCCAGCCTCCTTATCCACCCATCATAGGGCCCTCCCTAGCTTCCCTATCCTCCTGTCATAGCCGCCTCCCCAGACCCCGCTCTCATCGCCTCCTCTCTTCTTCTTTGCCCCTCCTTAGATCTAGGGTTTCAAGTTGTAGCGGCAACCACAAACGCTATGAGGGTGCTATGGGAGTAGGCCGAAGAGGGTGCTACCAAGGGTTGGGTCACGTGAGGGGTAAGGGAGGGTTGGGTAATGGGTTGACAATTGTAGGGGGCTAGGGAAGGGGTTGACTAGTTATAGTGGTGGGGGAGTTGGTGATGTAGTTGTGGCTAATTGTGGCTAGTGGTGTGTACTGAAATATTAGGTTTAAAATACTGTCCACAATGATTAGGGCAAAATGATAATTAAAATTTTGAAAGGTGTGTGGGAACTTTTATTTCCACACATGGTTTCCTCACAAGGCACGCATCTTTTTTGTTCATAAATTAACTTCCGAATAAAACTACTTGGTTATCTTTGGTTTGGAAGTTGATTTTCAAACAAAACTCATTTCTAAACCAAATAGTTCTGTTCAAAAATCAACATCTAAACTAAAAATTCAAAAATTAAGTGTATGAACTTAGGTAATGTGGTATGTGGAAATAGAAGCTCCCATGATATGTACTGAGATTATTCTATGGTGTGCAAATAGAATTTCCCCATACATAATTTCCATGCATTGAACATTTGCAAATGTAACCAGAACATGTCACAAGCTATAGCCTCAAGGTCAGGGCATATCTTTAGCCTCAAACTATTATCATGTTTGCAAAGTAATTTACATGAAACTTTATTAAGAGAAATTCAACCATAAAAGAATGTAATTTCACAGAGATGTAGTACTACCGCTTGACATTTACATACCCAATATCTATGTCCACTAGTCAGTAGGTAGCATTTCTACCCAGAAGATGTTGCACGCGAAGCCCGTCAATCTTAGCAGCAAGTAAGAAATCATTTTCTGTAAGTCCACCTGCACAAGAAGTCAATCATGTTCAGAAATGCATTTCCCTGCACAACCATTTGACCAAATGAACAAAAGGTCATGGCCTAAAGCAAATTGCAGAACAATGATCCCAGAAATACGTTAATGGAATCCTAATGGCTTATTTCATATTATACTTCTCATTTTTCGGGGTCATTTAATTACTTCATACTAATCAGGTTGTGGCAGGTCCACACCTGATTGGCTCAAAATTGGGTAGTCCAAAACTTTTATATAAACCAGACCATTTATGTTACAAAACTTGTGGATAATAATATATTGCAAGTATATACATAAATTGCTTGCTAAAAAATAATATTGGTTGGTTGCAGATCAATGAAGTCCAGGAAATTTTACTTTCTTGTCTATTCACAGAAAAGTTCAATAATTGATAATTAAAAAAAATAATAATAATTTGTGACAATTAATTGTAACATTCATGCAAATTGCTGCCTAGGGAATAAATATCACGAGGCCAAAACTTGGCCACCACCCTCAATTGGTCTTCCAACATTAAGTGTCCTTCAATGCTACAGGCGTTTTAATTGGGCACATGCTAAGGACTAGCTTATGCACCAAGAAAAATACTAAAATACACATTGTTGAATATCCATTAAAGATGAATTGTTCATAGAACAAAGGAAAGTCAGGACAACAAATTTATAATGGACTACTACAATGCTACTAGTGCTTGCCTCCGCCTTCTCCTGGACGAAATCATGGAAATTTCTCTTAGAGAAAATAAAAGGATAAAACTAAAATACGTGGTGGTGGATGCACTTCAAAGATAAAATAAGATAGATGTGGCCTATCTTGCCATTGCAAGCATGGTGGATAAACTGTTAACCCATTTTTCATTCATTGTAAGCAATGTTGTCGAATCATGATATGTATCGTGCATCGTCGTACCAACTTTATGTATCAGGTATCATATCGTATGGTGTATCATAAGATACATTCACACATGTAAATATAAGTTTAAAAAATAATATTATTACATAAATTATAAGTATATTGCAATTTGTAATAATTAAACATTCAATTTCATAAAATTAAATATATTTTGTGTTGTTTTGCGGCCAGTTCAAGGATTCCCTTTTTTAGAGATTGCTTTCTTTGAAAGATGGAATATAATTAAAAAAAATCCCTAAAGTGAATGTGTTCTCTCAAAAGTGACTAAGAACTGAAAAGACAAAAAATGATTTCCTATTTCTAAGTATTAAGACTTTTGGGATTCTTAATTAAATTAATAAGAAGTGAAAAAAAAAATAATAATTAAACAAATGGACTAATGGATGTTTAGTTTAAGGGCCTTACATCCATCAAAGAAACTCCGAGTTTGGACAGCTTAATATGTGTTTACTTGAGAATGTGTGGTAGGAATTTCTATACGAATGCCAAATATTTATTCATATGCAAGAGGGTGGGTTTGATTGGGTCAAGTTTTGGATCTCTATGATTATAACTCATCAATAAATGTTTTGGGTATAAAATCAATGGTGAAATTGGTAAGTGGGGAGGGAAACCCCAATTTTCTAGACAAACCCTAATTTTTCTTGAATTGTATCAAATTGGTAAACAAAATTGGAATTATTTAAATGTTGATGAAATCATGAGGTTTTGATTGTGATACATTACCCTTAAAATGTTAGAATTGTTGTTGGGTGTTGAAATTGAGAATTTTGTTGCATCTTTGTAAGTACAAGAAGTGTTGGGATATAATTGTTTAGATTATTGTTGAGCCATTTGAGACTTGCAATTACTTCTTTTTTTTTTTTGGTTGATCAACAACAAAATTTTATTGATAAAACAAAAAGAAGAAATGAGAATAAGACATCCTCTACAAAAAGAAAAAAAGAAAGAAAAAACATAACCCAAACAAACAAAATCTACGAATCACACACTGACAGCCAATCCCTAGCTAACAAAAACAAAAGAATTCCCCTAAAAAGGAGATTCACCGAAGCCTAAAAAGAAGTGACAAACTTTATTCCACGAAAAATCCGCATCCCGACTTTTATCTTTGAAAATTCGTGCATTTCTTTCCAACCACAAAACCCAAAAGTTGCAAAGATGGTACAAACCAAAGCACTTTGGCCTTTTTCGATCCTCCCAAACATAAAAGTCAATTAGAAGCATATGCACACTACCTTTGGGGGCCAGACACATGACATTTCTCAAAACAAACAATCTATGCCATAAACTCAAAACAACTGGATAATGCAAAAATAAATGATCCAATGATTCACCATCCTTGCAACACATAATGCACTGTTGAGGATTTAGAGAGCGATTAGGTCTCCTTTTTTGCAATGTATCATTTGTCAAAATACCACCTTGAACCAAAGACCACATATACACCTTCACCTTAAGAGGAACACAAGCCTTCCAAATTCTTTTACAAAAAGGAAACTAAGGAACTTGAGGATTGTCAATGATTTTGTGAAAAAAGGATTTTCAAGAAAAGATACCCGATGAATGAAGAGCCCAAATCCTTTTATATTCCAAAAGAGGAACCAAGGAGAAATGACCAAATCTTGACAACAAAACTATCAATTCTATAGTCCCCCTAACATTGAGATTCCTAGAAAAAATGAAATTCCAATAGATTGGAGCCAAAAATGAACAATTATGAGACAAAGCCACTTTATATAAATGTGGAAAATCATAGGCAAAGGAGGAAAAGCCCATCCAAAGATCCTCCTAGAATCAAACAAGTTTCCTATTGCCCACCCTCACGGAAAGATAACACGACCAAAGTAGATAGATGTGAGAAATTGACTTCCAAGAAGCACGACAAGTTCCCCTCAAAACCATCTGTGAATCCCTACCATTATCCTGAGTCCAATACTTGCTTCTAATAATAGAATGCCATAGAGAATTACTCTCAATTGGAAATCTCCATAACCATTTATCAAGTAATGCCAAATTCCTAGCCACAATGTTGCCAATTACCAACCCCCTTTTTCCTTTCAGAATGAAATAATCTCCCAATTCACCAAGTGATCCTTCTTCCCCTCATCCTTACCTTCCCAAAGGAAATCTCTCATAAGCTTTTCCAATGACCTCGCTACCTTTACTGGAATTTTGAACAAAGATGAAAAATAGATGCGAATTCCGCTCAAAACTGTCTTGACCAAAGTATGTATATCTACCCCCACACGAGAGTAAAGCCTTGCTCCACCCTTCCAATCTCTTGCAAATCTTTTCCACAGCTGGAGACCAAAAAGATTCACTCCTAGGATTGCCCCCCAGTGGAAATCCCAAACATTTGAACATGAGTGTCTCAATACTACACCCTAGAAGCGAAGCTCTTCTCAATGACAATGGGACAATGATCAGAGAGTAATCTAGGTAGTGTTAAAAACCCCTTCCCACCCCAAGGAGAGTAAGAATCTATCCAATCTATAGAACACACAATTTTCTTGAAGATCAGACTGTGCGAATCTTGCATTACACAAAAAAGGATCCACCAACTCACATTCTCTTATAGACAAATCAAAATCTTTCATACCTCTTAGATCTAATCTAATCCCATTGAGCCTTTCAAAAATCTTCCTAACCACGTTGAAATCCCCCACCCCCACAAACACCAATTTCAGGTGCACAACCCAAATAACCCATATAACTCCTCCCACCAATCCTTTCTCCAAGAAGGATTATTAGGTCCACAAACCCTAGTCAACCATCATTCCACACTATCAAGATTCCTAAACCTAATTGATAATGAAACCCACTATAGTTTCACGCTTTGAGACAATCCTCTCATCCCACATAAATCAAAACACCCCCCGATCTACCACCAGATGGCACTAAAGCCCATCTCCTATGCCTAGTTCCCAAAATACTTTTCATGAAGTTCTTGTCGCACACTTCCACCTTGGATTCCTCAAAAATAACAATATCTGGGGTTGATGATTCTTTAAAAAATTCTTAATTACCCCCCTCTTCTTATAAGAACCCAAACCCCTCACTTTCCAACTGATAATCTTCATTGAGAAACATTTTCACCCCTAACCTCCTCTTGCCTCTTCTCATAATTAACGGAACTTGCCAAATTCCTTAACTCCCTTGTCCCCTTTCCACAACTCCCTCCATCCTTTCTAGAAACTTCCCCCTTATGACCCTACTTTCCTTACTAAATGAACCAAAAGTATCCTTGATTTTCACAAGTGACAAACCCATAACTCGAAGCAATTGTTTAAAATGAGGCACCTCTTTCTCTTCAATTGGGCATGTTTCGCGCTTAACTCCTCCAACCATCTATCCGCTTCCTCCTCCCTTTTCACTATCAACTACCCCCTTGTCCAAATGATCACTAGAGACCTTGAGCATTATTGGCATGTAAGGACTCAGAATTAATGATAGAAACACTCAAATTGGCCCTAGGGATTTCAAAGGTGACCCCTTGATTATCATTTCCTATCATTTCCTCCAGAAACTACTTCAATGACATTATATTTATAAATAGGACAGTGAGACATATGAACCCCATCCCTATCCCTATCCCCTATCCCCATCTCCTGGAAAAAAAGAATCTGGAAAAGCTTGACCCTCCCTATGAGAAGAAGCACTGACCTGATTCTGAGTGTCAGAAACCCTCTCATTGTCGTTGTCCTCAATAGCACAATCTGCATTGAAGAAACTGTTGAGAGTCCTCTTGTACAGCCCCATTACTCTCCTCATCCAATAGGTAATCTGAGCTTTTGGAACTTCCATAATCATCCAATGCTTGCAACACTTAATGAATCTCAAAACGACCCCCTTCCACATTGCGAATCAAATTTTCATGCTCTTTTTCGCCTTCCAAAAGCCTGTCCGCCCAAACTTCTGGAAGCTCTCTTGCTTTTTGTTGATCCCCGGTCGATCTGTCCACTGCATCTGCCAGCCCTAGTTGCATTTCTTCTGGAGTAAGAACTCGATAATTATCCTCCTGAAAATCCTGAAAATGACAAGCCGAAGCTGTCTTGGTGTGAAACAAAGGTCGCGCCATCCCCTCTCTTGACCATCTGGTTGCCGAGGAGAGAGAACCCGATCTGATCATAATCCAAGCTGGATTGTAACCCAGATGGGTCTCATTCGGGTTGAGCTGTGAGCTTGGGTCCAAAGTCTCATTGTTAATTGTGATGTGATCATGATATGCCCTTGCAAATCCCTCCCGTTGTCGTTCTTCCTCTTCGCTGTACACAATTGCTGAGTCCTTAACCCGTGGGTTCACATGACCCGAACCAGAATTCAGGTTCAAAGACCAACCCAGATCAACCCCTACAGCAAGATGATAGTGGGTTGGGCCCTCTTTGATTGTTGGGTCAGCTCCCTTATGGTTAACACGAAACTTCTGGACTTTGAGGATTTTCAGAACCCTCAATAACTCCTAGGCCAGTCTGTTGAGTGTGAGACAGACCCAAAGTAATTCTAGGCCCATTTTTGAGCATCAGCCCAGCCCCAATTTGGACAGAAGACTGGTCCGCATGTCCAATAGGCCCATGCTCTGGATCCCTCGTGTCATCCCATGACCTCCCCTCTGCATTGACAAATCTTGCCCCTAAAGCCTACGCCTCTTCGTATTCATCACCAAACATTGAACTCTGCCTTCCCAACTGTCTGCCCTCCTCCAAGATGCCACATGTCCCTCCTGTCCCTTCCGACTTCTTGTCTCCCCTTCCTCCGACGCTGGAATCTGATGAACCTTGTCAGGAAACCTCTCTTCTTCTAATACGTTTGGACGAAGTCTTCAAGCGAACTGTAACTGAAACACCATCCACCATGACATCGATATTGGATGGTAAAAACCCAAAGTCAAATCCTCTCACTTTCAGCCTTGCCTGAAAAAGATTTTCAAAGTTGCTGGTTCTGCGATCCACTTCAATCAGCCCTCCACATTTCGAACCAATCATCTCGAATGTACTCTTACTCCATAGGTGAAAGGGCAAGTCACAGATAGCTACCCAACCACCATATGACGCAATAACATTAGGACATCTATGCAAATCATCAGACCAACTCTCCAACTTCACCGCAACACCCTCGTCAAAAAATTGCAGACGGAGTCACTCAAACCTTGCAGCCTGTTCCTTATTGACGGTGAAAAATAGAGCTCGATTTAACTGGAACGGACAAGGAGTGACAGAACACATGAGGTATTTTCTTAGTTCCATCTCAATTTGTTCCCAGCTAATGAAGAAATTAGTTCTGTTGCATACCACTGCATGATCCAGATCAAGGCTAATATTATTCAATGCCGGAATTGATGATTGACCCTTGAACAGCTCAGCATATGAACTTCCTCTGTTTGCCCCTGTTTTTTGACACCCAAATTCCCTAGCAATGGGTTTCTCTTTGTGTGCCCTTGATAACTGATATTCCCTGAATCTACTCATGTCTTCCTTGCCCACCTTCTTACCTTTAATGCCACCATGAATGATCCTTTGAAGCAACTCATCCATTTCAGTCACCTCAACCATCAATCACAACTGGAATAATGATGGTGCTCCTTTTAATCCCTGCCATCCACTTGGATAGCTCAACGAAAGCCCCTCTCTAATAGTTGAACCTTTGAAGGCAAAAAACAGCAGAACTACATCTGTACTTGCTAAAGAAAACTCGCTCACCGAATCTTTTCCACACCTCCAGCAAAGCTTCCGATGGCCAGAAGACTCCTCCCAAATCAATCTTCACAGCAAAACTTCGAGCCCGATTCCTTTCAATTATCTACACTAACTCCCCTTTATTGATTTTAATGATAATAATCTTGTGTTCAATCCTCAACTCATTTGCTCTCTCTGTGACTTCAAATTACTATTACAGTTAGTTACTAATGGCAATCGGTGCAGGATTGCATATTGGCATATTAAAATGATAGTTGGATTTTTTTTAATTGGTCAATTGATGAGTAATGAATCCAGAAAGTATGGTTTTGAGAATTACGATGACGAGAGTGTCCATGGTGAAAGACAGAAAACCAGGGCGGGAATGGGTACCACGTGCCTTCGGCTAATAACCAGTTAAATGGGGGAGTTTTGGTGGTTCCTACTTTTAGGGCCACTGGCAGATACTAGCCTAGGGATTCATTATGCGAGTGTTTGGAAAGTTGCTATTTTAGTAGGTTATTTTAGTTTTTGGCTATTTTAGTAGGCTAAAAAATTTGTGTTTGGAAAAATGATTGAAGTTGGATGTGATATTTGTGAGAGAAAAAGTGAAATGATTATGGATTTGATGTGACATTTTGTCTTATTAGCTATTTTAGCCTATTTTGTCTTTCTGTGAATTTTAGCCTAAAAAGCTAAAAAATAGCATTTGCCAAACACACCCTATGATTACGTGTGGATGATATAATTGGAAAAAGATCGAATTTAAACCGAATTATGTATGTGTATATTGTACATCAAATTATGTTGATTGTATGAAATTTCATCAAACTATAGTACGTATGATTTGCATCATGATCATGTTCCATATTTATGCATATTGCATAAATATAGAGATTCCTAGTGGACTTCGGTTCACCCCTCGTGGATAACAAATTTTCAGCTTCAGATGATGTGCTGCCGCCATGTGGTTGACATAGCAGATTTGATGAGCTGAAAAGCTCCTTTTGTGATTTTGTGAAAACAGCTTAGGGTCATTGATGTAATTAAATAGTAATTATTAGAGCAACTTATTTGATGGAGGGAATGCCCTCTTTATTTTGTGTAATGCCTTAAAGCAATTAGTTTACTTTGTGAATTTAATGGACTTGTGCAGATGCCTTATATTCATGCTGACGTTGAGATGTGAACATAGGTTGTATGTCTATGTATTTTGTGAACCATGATTTTTGTGGAATGAATATGTATGTATCCGGAGGGTGAGTCATTATCTCCTTAATGTATTCTTCTTAAGTGTGAGCTCCTTCATTTCACTCCAAACCTTATTCTCATCTTACTCTTGTAAATCCGAATCTTGTGTAACTATTTGGGGGTGTTACAAAATCAATTATTGTCAGCATTGCTCCTGTGTGAAGCACAATCATATATCATTCAAACTACTCCAAAAGCCAAGCTGACAGACTTTAGACTTGGAAGTAGTTAATCTCTTATTGCACATCACTATGATTAGCCCACGGCTGACATCAGTCTTTTAAGCATAATACTGTCCAACAAAACATTATTTAGTCATATTTTCACAACAAATTCTGCCCACCGAAGAGAAAAAGCAACTTTTACTCACATAAACTAAAAGTAAACCATAGATTGCAAAGGTTTTCTTAATGAACATATGATTCTTACCAACAGCATGTGTCCATAAATCAATTTTGACATTGTTCCATCCAACAAGATGAAGATCTGGATGATGACCTGCAACAAATGCTTGATATTTTTAATAATATAAAGCACCTAAACAACTACACATAATTTAATAAATTGCATATTACTTTGTTTGAGGACATATGGATAAGTATCAAAAAGCGGACCAAGTTAAGAAAGTAAGCCTGCATTGTAGCATCCTATAAGATTTGGGCCCTAGTTTTTGAAAGGGGCACAAAGTGGGATCATTTTCAATGGAATCACAAATATGGAAAATCCATATTCTAATACACAGACTTGGCACTGCATAATTCCACATTACAACAACCAATTTTATCTCAAACTTAGTGATACCATGATTGAACCATAGAACACAATAGCTGCAGTGGAAGCAGTCTTCCAGACTGTTTGCATAATTGTAGAATGCCTACAAATTGAAAGAAAGAACGTCTATAATACCAGCAATTTATTATGAAGAGAAAGAAGGTAACACTACAAAGTATACCAGCCGAAGAAGAAAAAAAGTGTGATTCTCCTAAGTATGCATCCTTTCCAAACACAGACTCTGTAATTTCGTTCCGCTTCTAATTCCTGTGGTTGAAAGAGGCACTAAATAATACACGTCAAGGGTCCGTTTGGTTTAGTTTTGAGTTGTATTTTGAAAGATAAGTTTTTGAAAAGAGTTTTGAAAATTTAAAACTTGTTTGATTATTAGTTTTTGAAACTAATTTTTTAATTGTATATTTTGAAAGTAGTTTTTAGAAATTTGCAAATTGAAAACTTGTTTGGTTAGGAGTTTTTAAAACTAGTTTTTCAAAAGAGTTTTTTTAGGTCTTGTGCTTTTTTTGTCCAGTAGTCAAAACTTTTCACAATATTATAGTCAATTTTGTTAACTTCTTTTATATACGTAATCTAAATGTACTTTCTAAATACATCTAATATAATCTATAGGGCAGAGTTTCATATGTATATATTAGTTTGTAAAAAAAAAATTAAAATTTTAAAACTGCTTTTCTGATTTATATTCACTCAATCTACATACATTTAAAACGTTTTATATTTATTACATTTGTTTTTCATTTATTCATATTTTGTTTACTGTTTACGTATATTTTTTGGATTGTCCATCCATATATATCTAAAACATATCTAAAACATAACAAAATGTTTGACCAATATTTAAAACCAACTTAAAATTCCTCATCAGTCTATCGAATTTAAATTTAGCTGATTTTGCCCACTAAATAGAAAATTAATTTTTAATTTATTCGAAATAACAAATCATGCTATTTCAATTTTTTCTATGATGACTATAGTTTGCATTACAAAGTTTCATTGAACATAAATCAAAAATATCTTCATAAAAATTTTCAACATAACATCAAATCGTACAAAAGAGTTTTGAAATTAATTTTGAAAGATATGTTTTGAAAAGAGTTTTGAAAATTTAAAACTTATTTGGTTATAAGGTTTAAAAAGAGTATTGAAAATTTAAAACTTTTTTAGTTATAAGTTTTGAAAAGAGTTTTGAAATTGATAGTTTGAAAAGGGTTTTGAAAATCCATAACCAAATAGGTATTGGGGTTTTGGACTGTCAAATTGTGATTTGAAAAGCAAACCAAACGGAGGTCTTTTAGGGAACTTTTTGAGAACCTGGACCATAATGGAAATGAGAAAGGCCATAATGTCCTGTTGACAAGAAGATTGACACACACCGACTTCTCTTTGCAAGGTGAGCCATGATTGAAAGTTGTCCAGTAACAAGGAATGAGGTTAATTAGTGGCCAGAATATCCCACCAGTTATGTCCAAATCACAAAGACTACTAACAGGACGTGGAATTGACATGAAGAAAAAATAGAAATCTGTAATATATCCAAATCAAATCTTGTTTCATCAGGTCATGGTGCATAAGCCTCAAGTTCACATTGTACATGCTCCATTCAAAAACCTCCATTGTTTTATACCCTGCATGGATAATTAGGCTTAACCTGACAAATACTACTGCAGTCCCACCCAGCAAAATAAATAACTCAGATCTCTAGGGACAATTCCTAATCTCACTGTGACTTTTAAAAATAAGATGTGTGCCAAGTAGTCAACTGCCTGAAAACCTGGTAAAACTAGAGGTGCAACTTGGGCGTGATTAACCCAAGCACTTGAGCCCAACCCAAAAAATATTAGGGCTTGGGTAGCATATTTTTGAATTTGGTGTGGGTTTGGGTAGAAATTTAAAAGCTCAAATTAAATTTGGGTGAGCTTGGGCAATGACACAGGATAACCCAAGCAACCTGAAGCCTAAATTGTATATATATATACTAGCGCTTGGCACACAAGATGTGTGTACAATTTAAATAAGTAAAGAAAAATAAATTATTTACTATATGTTGTGTGTTAAAAGTGGTAAAGTCTTCTTCATCAAATATTAGGTCTAAGGTTCAAATCTCACTCCTTCCTTTTATCTAAATTTTTGTTTTAAATAGAAAAATGAATACTTGGCAAAAGGAGAGAAGAAGCTTCAAGACACCAAGTGTGATAAATAGAAGAATGGATACTTGGCAAAAGGAGATAAGAAATTTCAGGATACTAAGTCACTTGTTCACTTTATATATAGTATAGATATATTAACCATTTGATCATTTTAAGATAATCTTGGCCTTTGGATCGTATTAACTATACACATTATATACACAAATAACACAACACAAAAAACACCTGCTATTTCCCTTTAGGACTTAGAAATGACAAATACCATTGTAATAGTGCAGCAATTTCTCAATTCTCTACTTTCTTCTGTCTCTTATCAAATAAATTATTTGTTTGGATGTTATTAATGATTTTATGCCCCCCAAAAATAAATAAGGTTAACTTTAACAAATTAATAAAAAAAAAAATTAACAAAAAAAAATTCAAATTTGTGAGTAATTAGAGCAATTCAGGCCTAGTTCTAGTTCAAGTTCAAGTTCAAGTTATTATGGTTAGGTCAAGCTTGGGTAGACAAGTTCAAGTTAGAGGTCGTGCTAGAGTGAGCCTGAACAACACTCAGCACAAATAGGACTCAACAACTCTTCAACTCAACCGAGCACGCCCGAGTTGCACCCTTAGGTAGAAATGAAATTTGCATTACTCGCAACATTCATAGTCTTTATTCGAGACATCCAATGTGATCCCTTCTCAACGTTGACAATGAATACAATATGTCCAAACTTGATGCAAGACAGCATTAGGAAACTTGGGAGCATTGCTACCTACCTAAGAAGCATGAACACAGGCACGGACACGAATGTGCCAACACAAAAATTTCAAAAAAATGTAGGATATGACATGTTAGGGACATGCACAAAATATTTCTTTCATATATTGATTATATATATATAAATCAATGTAAGAATAATTTTTAAAGTCTAAAAGAAAAGATTCGGTATAAATTTACATTTTTTTTCTTTTATCACTGAATTTCAAATTATTTTATCTAAACTTGTAATGTATTTCATGTGCTTAAGCGATACACATGTTCCCAAGTGTCTAAAAAGTAACGGAGTATAAGAAATTTTAAACAATAGTAGGACATGTTCGGTGGCGTCTCCGACAAGTGTCAAGAAGTGTCTAATGAATGTCGTGTCATGTCATGTTGTGTCAATGTCCAACACAACACGCCAACTTCTTAGAATGTACCTGAAGTAAAAATTATGGTGGTTTGGTTGTAAAAAGCTTCTAGGGTTCAGGTTGAAACCAAAAAAAAAATCTTAGGTTTCTAGATGTAAAAGGCTAATTTTAAACAGGATTTTGGGAATTGCTTGAAAGATTTCCCTATGCAGCAACTATTTTAAGATGTTTTAGAGTAAGTGTAGATTTAGTGACCAAAGGGTAAGGAAAAATATTGGAGATGATTTGAACTTTAGTAAGAGTTTAGTCGTTGAAAAGGAAGTTGTTCTAGAGCTATGAACAGTAACAGAACACTAACTTGGGTACGTGGCTATGTGTGCAAAGAAGAACAAGGAGAAGAAGAAGAACGTTTCATCATCGCAACAGTTGGACAAGTTCATACAAACACAATCTCGAATTCTCATAGCTCAACTCTTTATTGAAAAGAAAGATTACATGCAAATTTATAAGCTGCTAGATTTTTCATACTCCTACAAGGAATGAAACTCTAATTTTAGAAACTGAGAATATTTAGTAACTGCAAATATTTCAGACCAACTAGAACTTCAAATAAAACTCAAATAACATTACTTGACCTAATTTATAACACACGGACTATGACTATTACTCATGTCCAACAATTATTTAAATCACCAAAATACCCCTAACTATTTAAACCTAATATAATAATATAGAATATGTCCAACAGCATACTAAATTAAAATAAACACAAATGACTGTTGTCAAAACTATAAGGAAAAGAAAAATGATTACTACCACATTCTAACAGAACTAGTGTTTGTGCGCACGCGAATTGTTTTTTGGGATTTTTTTTATTAGCTAGTGTGAGTTGCCCACAAAACAATAATTAAAGAATAAATAAATAAATAAATAAATAAAAGAACTTGTTCTTAACAAATAAGGAACAAGTTCTTGCAGACTATAATGGTGATAACAATAATATAGTTGTAAGTGTTTATTCACTTCTAACAAATTATTGGTCAAGAAAAAAGTTTAAAAGAATAAAAAGGAACAAACAAAACAAAACCAGAGAAAATAGACGCTATTTTTTTTTTTTTTTCATTGGTACCCTTGCATACAAATGATACGCAAGTTTGAGCAAAAACTTAAATTTGTTGTTTTTTTTTTTTTTAGGGGTAGGGCATGATATGGAAATTTTATATTTGAATGTAGTGTATGGTTTAAAAGAATAATTTTATGACAAATTACACTTTGCACTCATATATTTTATATTTAATCTCACTTTTCCTCTTAAACTTTTCATTGTCTTAGTCAACTCCTTACATTTCGAGTCAAGTTATAATTAAATTGGGTTCAATCGAATAACACCGTTTCAAAAATTAACAAAGAAACTAAAGTTATGAAGGGGCTAAATTGAGATTTTGA